ATGATGATGACAAAACCTTGTCGAAACGTGGTACATTTGCTGTCCTGTTAAACTTATATTAAAGTTTTCTTCATTACCCATTTAAGCCGTCTCCAGCCATTATTAGTCTCAAAGTGGGTTCCTCGTCATCGAATCTGATTAGGTTATTTTGGTAAGAAACTAGCAACAAACACGTTAAAAAAAATAAGTTGTTCCTTGTTTGCTGGGGTATAAGGTATCCAATAAAACCAGGTTTTTGTTAAGAACGTAAATAAGATCCTGGGTTGTGGGATAAGAATTATGTTCTTCAAAGACCTTAGTAATTTATATCGTCTCTACTTTTATGTTATTATGCAATAAGCCAACAAACTGCCTTACTGAATGAAGAGGATGAGTGATATTCTGGTCAAATGTCACGAGTTCTTGTATTCTGCCCTCAGCCTTCGATGTTAGTACAAGACATGCAGCATCCATACTCTGTGGAGGAACATACACAACATTAATCATCAGATTGTTTAACGTAAAGTTGAAGATGAAAAGTAAAAGCAAAGTTATTATATATTAAGAGAATATATCCATTTCAAAATGATTTGGTGCCAAACTGTTGTCTTGTAATTGATTTTAGGATACTTAATTCAGTGATACAGTAAAATCAACTTTTACAGGAGGAAGGATTTTAATGATTAAAAAAGTTTCAACTCATAGTAATGGATCAGTTTCAACTCATAGTAATGGATCAGTTTCAACTCATAGTAATGGATCAGTTTCAACCCATAGCAATGGATCAACATCAGGTAAAATAAAGTGCTACTCTATAATTAAAGTGCATCTTTAAATAAAACAGAATTTTGATAAATAAAAGAATGATTAGTTATCACCATACCTTTGACGAATCATTATTTTTTGACACTCCTCTATTTTGTGTTGCTACTGTGCTTTCTGAAATCTCAGGACTGAAGTGTGTTCGCAGCTGTGTACTTCTCGCTAGAAGGTCAAGTAGCTAAAAAAATAAAACTTTCTGTTGTAATCTTAAAAAGCATGATCTCATTGTTGTCACCATCTTGAAGAACTGGGACTGCTGAAGAACTGGGACTATTACAACAAATAATGACAAACAAGTCATTTCTTTAATTAATGAACTGAAGAACTGGGACTATTACAACAAATAATGACAAACTAGTCATTTCTTTAATTAATGAACTGAAGAACTGGGACTATTACAACAAATAATGACAAACTAGTCATTTCTTTAATTAATGAACTGAAGAACTGGGACTATTACAACAAATATTGACAAACAAGTCATTTCTTTAATTAATGAACTGAAGAACTGGGACTATTACAACAAATATTGACAAACAAGTCATTTCTTTAATTAATGAACTGAAGAACTGG